CCTGCCCCTTCAATTTTAAAACCCTTTTCTCTCTCTCTCTCGGACTCGGATTCTCTCTTGTCCGAATCAAATCCGATTGCCGGTAAAAGGGAAGGCTTTGGGCAATTTTGTCGCGGGGAGGATTAAAAACCCTAATTGCGAAACCGTGGATCTCCTAAGTTTCTGAATCAGGCTGTGGTGTCTGCGATGGCGGAATTAGGGCAACAGACGGTGGACTTGTCCGCGCTGGTTGGTCGAGCCACGGAAGAATCGTTTCTTTCCCTCAAGGAACTCGTGGAAAAGGCTAGGTCTACGGAGCTTTCTGATACTGACAAGAAGGTTAGCCTTCTCAAGTTTGTCGTTAAGACTCAGCAACGGATGCTTCGCCTCAATGCGCTCGCCAAATGGTGTAAACAGGTTTGTTCTTTATCCTCCGTTTTGGGTTTTGTGGGTCCAAGTGAAAGTTGGAAGCTTTTCTTCGATTGGAATCAGATAATGGTGCAAGATTATCCCTTTCAAGATCTATGAGTGCTTTTAACACATTTCCCCATGGATATAGTTTTGTGTGACCTTGATGGGTTTTTGTTCTTTTTAAAATTTAGATTCTTCTCTAGTAGTTATGAATTGGCAATGAAAGGGTAAAGCCTATACAAAGCATGTATCATTGCAACAGTATGAAGTTGTCTTTAGATTACTCTGGCATAGGGAAAAACTTAAGATGTTTTTACTTAGGCTAATGTGTATATACGGTGGTAAGTTAGTTGCTAAGTGCGTACATAGTGTAGAAACAGCTGAGAGTTAAGTTATTTCTGTATATTGATGCTTGCTTTTGTTCACTATCCTTACGGAGTAAACTTTGTAAATTTATTGAGCCGCTTATTCACTTTTGGCTTTACCTCTTGGGGTGTGCAGGTTCCTCTCATAAATTACTGTCAAGACCTCGGGAGCACATTATCCGCTCATGATATATGCTTCACTCAAGCTGCGGATTCCCTGTTTTTTATGCATGAAGGTCTACAGCAAGCTCGCGCTCCTGTCTATGACGTTCCCTCTGCTGTTGAGGTTTTGCTGACAGGTTCTTATCAGCGCCTGCCAAAGTGTCTAGACGATGTGGGGATGCAACCCTCTTTGGATGAGGATCAGCAGAAACCAGCACTAAGAAAGCTGGAGGTTCTTGTACGTTCCAAACTACTTGAAACCACACTTCCAAAAGAATTAACAGAGGTGAAAGTTTCTAGAGGTACAGTTACCTTATCCGTCGACGGGGAATTTAAGGTTCTTGTTACTCTTGGTTACCGAGGGCACCTATCCATGTGGAGGATATTACATTTGGATCTGCTTGTTGGTGAAAGAACTGGCCCAATAAAACTCGAAGTAACAAGACGGCATATCCTTGGAGATGATTTAGAGCGTCGAATGTCTGTGGCAGAAAATCCATTCACAATATTATATGCAGTGCTCCATGAGCTTTGTGTTGCCATTGTCATGGACACAGTCATTAGGCAGGTCCGAGCTCTTCTTCAGGGAAGATGGAAAGATGCAATTCGCTTCGACTTAATTTCGGATACTGGTTCCACACCAGCGAACCAAGAAGGAGAGGCTGATTCTGTTAGTCTTCGAACGCCAGGAGTGAAACTTATGTACTGGTCAGATTCTGATAAAAATTCTGGTCCATTCATTAGAATTGAACCAGGGTCAGATCTCCAGATTAAATGCGTCCACAGCACATTTGTAATTGACCCACTTTCTGGCAAGGAAGCCGAGTTTTCTCTCGATCAGAGCTGCATTGACGTGGAGAAGCTTCTGCTTAAAGCTATATGCTGTAACAGATATACTCGTCTTCTTGAAATTCAGAAAGAGCTTTTGAGGAATGCTCGTATTTGTCGAGCTCCTAGTGATGTCATCCTTCAGGCCTTCCTGGATGAGCCTGGTATTGAGGTAAAAAAAGAGTTGGTTTAAGCTTAATATGGGGTTAGAATTACTTACACTAGTTGGACATTAAGTGTGTCACCTCACTGTCAGTAGTCAGATATCTGTTTTTGACACGTTCCTCGTTTTGCTTGCTACTGTTTTCAGAAAAATCCCTTGCTATTTTTTTCGTGGCTTCATGCTAGAGATTAGGAAATTAAGCATTACTCGGAAGTTTATATATTTCAGAGATGGCGGAACCTAGGTTACGATAATCTGTATTTTTTTACACAATTCTAATTGTTAAGAGTAGTGAATTTTCTGCAATGCACATGGCCTATGGTTTAGCTTCTTTTAGATGGGGAGCTAGTATCGGTGAGGCCATATTTCTCTTGCTATTTATTCTCAGTATTTTGTTGAATCTAATTAAGTAATTCTTCTTTCCTCCCTTCTTTTAGGGAAGTAACATGGTCGATTCCAAGGAACAAGTAGAGCCAGAGGTCTTACGCGTCCGAGCCTATGGATCTTCATTTTTCACACTCGGGATCA